CAGTGCAAGTGTTCTCGGCAGGCATGAGAGGGTCCTGTCTGCCTTTCTTGAATATACATTCCTGGGGGAGGGGGGGAAACCAGGAGGAAGGTCCAAGTACACGCTCCTTTTTAAGCTCCTGCCAATCTACAAGCTTCAAAGACAGAGAGCACAGGGAGAACTGAAAACACAAACAGAAGTTCAAAAAGAGCTTTCTAAATGCCCCTTCCATTTCCTCTTTTCCTTTCTCCCAAACCCGGGGCTGTTCACCTTGCAAAAGGCCAGCTCCCTTGCCTTGACCTTCTGAATTTCAGGAAGCTGTAACACCTTCTTTGCATCTACACGGACCGGGGCCTCCCAAAGTTTATGGGAAAAGAGAATTTGGTTGAGTTGCTAACTGGAAAAAAAAAAAAAAAAAAAAGGCTCCCAGTGGAAGAAGGAAGAGGTTCTCTACCGCTGTCCAGATTGACTGTCTCGGACACCCTAGGGAGCAGTTCCCCTCCATCCCGTGAAGTCCTGATGAGCCAGAATCAACTGGACAGCACTGGGATTTGGGATAGGGTTTTGGAATTCTTCCATGAACTTCTGGAAGCCCATCATACATCTCCTTTGTCCCATCTTCTCTGTGTTGCTAAGGCTCACAATGTTCTGTGGCATTCAGGAGCTAAGCTCACCTCAACCCAAAGGGTTCCTTAGGAACACTGCCTGTTCCTGGCTTGATAGGGACAAGGTGAAGGCGTTTCTAGGGACTGTGCTAATTAATTAACAGCAGACTAGAAGCCAAATCCATGTCCTTGAAGGGAAGACTCTCTCCAAAGACTATCTTGCGCTACGACTCTCCCGGCTTCTGTTTGATGCCAGAGCGATAACGGTCGAGGGTTTGAATTCCCGGTTGTTTTTGTCAAAGTTTTGCTGATTCACATTTCGGCCCATATGCTTTTGATCTTTTCCTTCCACCCCCTCAACACATACTCCTCTGAGAACACTCAGCTGGTTTGGGGGGGGGGGTTTCTTTTGGGGTTTCGGGAGGGGGCAAATTTCAGAACAAGCTGAACTATATTAAAATTGTGTACTAGGTTTTGACGTAGGTGCCTCACGATTTGAGCGAGCGTGTGCTATTTCTGAGATTGGAGGTACACAAATATCGGTGGCGGTATAAAAATATAATACTTTCAGGGTTGGCCCCACAACAAAGTATAGTTTTAAGGTTGCCTTAAAACATGCTCAAAAATCCCTTCTTGGCTCACCTTGAAAAGGATCGAAAATATCCTAGTTCTTGATCACCAGGCACAAAGCTATCGCTGCTTCTTAGGTCTGTGCCTCCACCCCCAGTGCCACCCAGTATGACCAGGTGGAAGCTGTGCCTAAAATCATTTTGGGAAGCTGCCCTTGACCGTCACCATGTACTGCCCCTGAGACTGTGGAACCTCAAGTCCATTATGTGCCCATCTTTTTTTCAGCAATGAATGGGATGGATTTCCTGTCACTCATCACCACAAGAACTATTACACTTCCTGAGTAACCACTTTTAAGCACTTGCTGTATACCAGAGATCTTCGACACCCTTGGTGGGTATCAACCCCTGGGCCTTCCGGCAAGGCGATGGGATGAGTAGTCCTATTCTCCCTGTCTTATGGCTATTGAGACTGAGAACCAGAGGGATTCAGACTCATTTGCATCCAGAAATTCTCTTGAGTCATCCCAAATCCAGCCTGCAGCACAGATGGGGGAAAGCTGGTTACCCTCTTTCTGTTGTGAAGGCTGCAAAGGTATCCATTGTAAAAACTGCGAAAGGCCAGCTCGCTTGCCTTGACCTTCTGAATTTCAGGAAGCTGTCACATGATCTTGGAGGAGATCCTTGGAGAACCCACTCAAACATGAGCACCAGATCAACAAGGTCTTGACATGGTTAAACTACCAGGCCAGGATGTGCGTAATTCTCTTTCGTGTGTGGACTGAGAGAAGGGAAGATGCCAGTCTTTCTCCTCAAGTAACTCAAGTTCATATCAATCTTATCCTTAAGCTCTGTGTTTGGTTTGCTGTTTTCTCTAATCGATGGAGCTCTTCTGGTGCTTACTCTCTGGAGTAAGCCCTTCGCACACATTTCCTCATTTAAGCCTTTTATTGAACTCAGGAGCCAGAATCTTTGGAACCTCTACTTGAAGTCAAGAGAACAAGCTCATAAATATGTGGGAACCTACTAAAAGCTTCCTGGTGAGAGAGTCAGCACCTGAACCCAGATCAAACTGCCACCAAGACCAGTACTTGGTGTTCCTCCCTGGCTTGTGATTGAACAAGTCTTGAAGGTGTCAGGCCTCCTACCTCAAGACACAAAGGATCACTTTGAAAATCACAGGCTCTCTAATGGCTTCTGCCCCAGGGCCACATGCTCATAGCTAGTCCTGCTAGCCAGCTCCTCTTAGCTTAGCCTTTCTCAAAGGAAGCCCCCCGCCCCCCCCCCAGGCAGGCAGAACCTAGGATGTCCAAAGGATCAGGATGAGTCAGACTTGCTTTGCCAGGTTCACTTCCACCACCTTCAATGAGCATGCTGGAAGCTAAATTCTGAGGACAAGCCTCCCACCCTACCCCACCAGCCTCCACTGCCAAGACTGAAGCCAATCTCTCCCACTTTTCAGTCGCCTGGAAAATCAGAGGTGCATCTGAGTGGGGAAAGTGAGACACGCATTTCTCGAAAACCTGTTAAAGAGCAGCCCTAATTCTGGAATTGTTGTCTACCCTCTTCAGTTTCTAAAGTGATTCTTCTCCAAGGTCTTGGAGAATTGAGGGGAACCAGCCCCTGGGTGATAGGGTCACCACTGTCCGGAAAGATATGTCCTGGCAGAGAGACAGACTGGCCCTGCACCATGCTCTGGGGTGTCATCTCATCATTGCTCTGGCAACATTCACGTTCTGAAAAGTCATACGTGGTTGGCTGGTTCTTTCTGCTATGATTCATGAGTTTGATCCCAATGTCCTTCCTTGGGCTGAGTTATTAGTTCAGGTTTTATTTCTACAGGCTTTTGTTGGTTTTTCCTCATCTGAATGCTTTGTGGCTTTATTTGTATAGAATTTTTAAATGGCGATTATCGACCATCTTTATGTCCTAGAGCTGCATAATGCTCTAAGATCAAAGAACGCCTATAGTCTGGAGTGGGGTGGTCTTGTTAACAGGGCCATCTCCCCAAAGTTGCAGGACCCCTTGCTTTCCCTCTTCGGGGCTTTTCACCAGATAATTGGAAGATTTCTTGGAGTTCTCTTCCATGAGAAGAAATGCTTCCGTAGGCTTACGGCAGTAGCAGCAGGGGGCCAAGTCACCTCTCCATACTGTGTGTGGTTTTCGGAGTCACCCAATTGACACTCAATGTGGTGGCGGGGGCATGTTGTGCTTCAGCACCGCCAGGGCAGCTTCCCGGAAATTCCAAACCCGCCCCCCCCCCCCCACCACCCACCTCCTCCTCCTTTGAGTCCATCCTTTCTCTCTCTTTTGTAAATTGCTTTCCAGCTCCCTCCTGCCTTCTCCTTTTCCTGGTCCTCGGGTTTTCTTTCCTTTCCCTTGATCTCCTTTTCCCCTGGGAGGTAGGACTTAGAAACAGCCACATCACATTCAAAGTCGTTTCCAGGATGGGATGCCTAATGCTGACTGATGGGCATCCTGCCCGTCACCTTGTCCTTCTTGCTCCCTTCTCTGAAGTACCCACTGCATGCTGACCTGCTTTCCTCCAGGTAATGTGTCCCTTCTGACTTCCTCTGGCACTGTGCCCTGCTGCCCTGCATACAGACTCACTGCCTAGACCAAGGTGCTGACGTCCTGGGAGCTGCCCTTGTGCTGGCAAGGTGTTTGCGCTTAGTAGAAAGCTGACTCCATTCGAGACAATGAGTCCCACGCTGGTTTACCGCTCTGCCACTCCAAGCCAGCCACACACATCTCCACGATGACCATGACTTCCACCCACAAGGGCGGGGGGTGGGGGGGCAGTGGGGGTCTCCTCAGAGGAGACAATCTCTAGGGGGAGCGTTTGGGGGCTCTGGTTTGTTTTCTACCTAATGAGAGCAGTCGCATGAGCTCCCTATTAATCCTCTGCCAATGACAAATGACCGATGGGGACATTATGAAGTTGGTGTTTTGATTCATAGCCGAATCTTGGCAATATCCAGTCCGTTGACAATGATACAGTGAGAGGCTTTTGTACCTCGGATGTTTCCAGAGAAGAAAAATCAAGAATGAGAAAAGAAATGTGTGCTGTGTCCCTAACCTGTACACTTCCGCATGCCTGTCTTTTTGTTCTCTTCTGTGCTTGTTGCATGCATTCACCCATTAGCTATGTCCATATTAGAGATGCAATGATTACACTACTTGAGACACAGCTGCTTACAATGAATCTCTTAAGAACAGTGTCTTTCCCAATGCCTTCCTTCAGACAAGTATTTGGCTGCACTCAGATGATGATTCTTTTCCTCACCTCCCCAGATGGGGCACACTGCCTCCTCAATGCTTTATTACAGCGGACTCGGCTGATCAGAAAGCAGGGATGCATGCTACCAAGCTGCATAGAAATTGTAGTGTTAACTATGATCAATATTTGAAAGCCAAAATCAAGTAAAGGTCCCTGGGCGTGGCTCTCCTTCCAGCCCATTGTCAACACTACTCAGGAAGATGGCCAGCTTTGGCTGGAGACCTGTTCGGGATCTCAGCAGTAGGGGGAATGATAGGGATGCAGGATGCTTTGTGTATTTCGTGGACAGTTGGGAGGGGGAGCCCCAGGTCCATTCTCTCATCCATGGTCATCCGGCAGCTTGAGCATCTCCAAGGGAGAACCAAGCAGAAGCCTCGACCAAGGTAAGCCAGGACCCTTGGTGCAAGTCCAAGGGCATTTGGAATGGACAGAAAGGAGCGGCCGCTGGAGTCCTGCAATCCGGCGCCCCGCATGCTATGTCACCCCCGCTTCCCTCCTTCGTCCTGAACCCCGCTGTTCACCTTCCTCCTCACCCCATTTCCTTCCTGCTCCTTTCTCCTGCTTCAGGGCGCTTCCGAGAAAAGGCTTCCATTCTCCATAAGATCGCCAAGAAGAAATGCCAGGGGGATGAGAACGAGAGGCAGAACGGGGCTGCCAACCACGTGGGTGAGTATGAGGGAACACCGTGCCACGCCTCCTCTGGGGCGGGTGGACGGGCGCAGAGAGGCAGGGCTGTGGGCACCCCTGACCCAGTAGACACAGAGCCCTGCAGTCCAGGTTTCTCCTGGGTGTCAGGAAATGAACCCCTCCTCTCCTGGTGGGTGATTGGACACAGTGCTCTCACCAGTAACTCTAGAGGAACCCCCCCCAAGTGCTTGGCTGCTTACAAAAGAAGCCTGGCCATCGACTTCCCTAAATTTAGCCCCTGAAAACCTATGGAACCCTACTCTGAGTCACATGGGGTGGCCATAGGCAACGGACTCCAGTCTATAAAGAGGAGACATGCGTGGATCTGATGTTTCACGAAGGGCAAGAGGGCCCTGGCTGGGTAACTCGGAAGCTCTGACTGTGAACTGAAAGGTTGGCAGTTGAAACTTGCCCGGTGGTTCTGCGGGGGAAGAGACCTGACTCTCTACTCCTGCAGAGATGACAGCCTAGAAAACCCCAGCATGCTCCTGGGTCGCACAGGGTCACTCAGCGTTGTGACGGGCTGGGTCGTACCCAACAACAACCAGAGTTTATATCCACAACATGGCCTACAACATGCCCACGAAATTAGCAGTCAGTCCCTGAGTCCCTGGGGGATGACACCGCCGCCGGCCGACCCTTCCCTCAGGATCAGCCAGGTCTCGTTTGGCTGTTTTACCTGAGCCCCTGGTGTGACCACACCGTGGCACTCCTGCGTCTTATTTTAACTTGAAACACGATCTTCTTCCTCTCCTGTCTGTCAGCAGAACATAGTTTTCTAATTCTGAGTGCAAACTAAATTTAAGTTCATCTGGATCTATGCTATAAACGATGTGATTGCTCAAGAAACTAAATTTATCTGCACATAGAATCCCACAGCGTTGTACTTAAAATACATGACACGCCTTTGAAGAGTGTCTGTCTCTCCTGTTACCCTGAGTTCTAGCCGAGGACAATCTTTATCCAGGAACTAGTCAGGGTTCCACTGGGCTGCAAAGAAAATAAGCCAAACTCTTAGCAATAGTTATTTCATATTTATTAAGTGTGGGGTTTGACTTTAACTCAACTTCTTTATGGTTTTATAAATGGAGGCAGACTTACAATGGGCATATTTTGCTTTTGTGTTGTAGCAGTCTATTGCATAGGTTGCATTTTGCATGTGAAATTCAGATTCAGTGACAGAAACTCTATTGAATGCTCCACTCACTGATTTCTCTTTGAAAATGAGGCATCATGGAGTAAGAGACTGAGATCCAATCTCTGGTTTCCGCCCTTCTTCTTAGGGCTGGATGGCCTCAACTTGGATTTCACTTTCTATGAGGAAGTAGGATACACAACTCCTCGGATCTTTCCAGAGCTGCTTACCTCTCTGAATATTTTTGTTCCCAAAAAATGTTGGTGGTGGAGTTCTTAGTTAATTACACTCAAGTCGGTTCTGACTCTCAGCAGCCCTGTGCAGACTGAATAAACACTGCCTGGTCCTGCACCCTCAAGTTCCTCACCATCTTCGAGCCCATTGTTGCAGCCACTGTCAATTCACCTCATTGAGCATCTTCCTCTTTTCCTGACCGTCTACTTTACCAAGCACGAAGTCTTTCTTCATTGCTGATAACAATGCCAAGGCCATGACATGAAGGCTCACATCCTCCTTTCTAAGGAACCTTCTAGCTGTACTTCTTCCAAGACAGATTTTGTGCATCTGGACGTCTGGGGTGTATTCCGTGTTCTTCACCGCCACCCTCATTCAAAAGTATCCATTCTTCAGTCTTCCTTATACTTGATCCAGCTTTCCCGTAGACGGAGGTGATTGGAAGTACCGTGGCTTGAGGAGGGCGCACGTTAGCCCTTACAGAGACATCTTTGCTTTGTAACATTTTAAGAGGTCTTTGTCAGCAGGCTGCCCAAGTGCAATACGTAGATTGGCTCCCTGACTGCTACTTCCATGGATGTTGATTGTAGATCCGAGTAAAAGAAAGCATTTCACATCTTCAAAATTTTCTGTATTCTGATGTTGATTATTGCAATTGTGATCATGTTTGTTTTCTTTACGTTGAGGTGTAATCCCTATTGAAGACTTTACTCTTTGAACTTCATCAGTGTTTCAAGTTCTCTTAGCTTTCAGGAAGCAAGGCTGTGTCATCTGCATATCACAGCTTGTTAATGTGATGCCCCATTAACCTTCATATAGTTCAGCTTCTCAGATTGTTTGCTCAACATACAGATTGAATAAGTTTTGAAAGGATACAATCCTGACATACACCTTACCTGATTTTAAACCACACAGATCCCCCCTTGTTCTACTCAAAGGACTGTCTATTGTTCTATGCACAAGTTATGCATTAGCACAATTAAGTGTTCTGGAATTTCCATTCTCAATGTCATCTACAATTCGTTATGATCCACACAGTTCAATTCCTTTGCCTAATCATCAAAACAGTGCTCAACATCTTTCTAGTATTCTCTGCTTTCAGCCGAGATCCATTTGCTATCACCAATGATATCCTTCATTCCACATCCTCTGCTGAATCCACCTTGAGTTTCAGCCTATCTTCAGTAAAATTTTACTTAAATGTAAATGCACATCTTCCTTCAATACCACCAGTCCTGGATTATATGCCAGCTCCTGAAATGGTTGAATCATAACCAATTATTTTGAGTTCAGTGACTCTGTATATTCCTTCCATCTTCCCTTGATGTTTTCGACATCGTTCAATATTTTACCTAAAGAATCCGCCAGCATTTCAGCTGCAGGCTTCTCGCACCTTGAGAAATGCGAGATGTTCTTCCCTTTGGGTTTCCTAACCTCGGGGCTTTGGGTGCTTTGAAATCTGTGCAGCTCTTTGGCTTTATCATTTCATCCATTCTCTTTAGCTTCTCTATGTTTCGAGACACGTTTCAGAGCTTCTTCGGATACCCGTTTTGGCCATTCCTTTTGCATGTCTTTTGAATGACTGTTTTGCTGCTTTTATGTGTGATGTTCTTTATGTCATCCTACTTCTCATCTACTCTTTGACCATTGGTGTTCCCTATGTCAAGTCTACTTTTGAAATGGTCTCTAAGTTCAAGTAGGATCCACTTAAGGTTATACTTTGGCATGCCTAGATTTAGCTTAACTTTCTTCAGCTTCAACTTGAACTTGCATGTGAGCAATTGAAAATCTGTTCCAAAGTCAGCCTTTGGCCTTACTCTGACGAATATTGAGCTCTTTCCACATATGTAGTTTATTTCATTTTTATCAAATATTCCATATGGTATATCCCATATGGTGAGGTCCATGTCTATAGTCACCATTTACGATGCTGAAAAATGGCATGTGCGATAAATAAGTCACTGGTCTTGTAAAATCCCATAATGCAAACTCCAGCTACATTTCTTTAAACAGCCCTTGTTTTCCAACTCCTACTCCTTCCTCTTTGTTTCCAACTTTTGCATTCCAACCACCAATATTTATCAATGCTTCTTTGGTCAAATTCAAATATAAAAGTTGGTGAAAATCTTCAGCTTCTTCACCCACGGCAGCAGTAGTTAGTGTACAAATTGGGATGAGTCATATGAACTTGCCCTTCTTTTAGGCATATGGATATTATCTTATTACTGACAATGTTGAACTGCAGGATAAATCTTGAAATATTCTTTTTAACGCTGAGTGTGATGCTATTCCCCTTCCATTTGTCATTTCTAGCATAATAGACCATACGATTGTCTGATTCAGACACCCAAGGCCAGCTCGTTCCAGCTCACTAAGATATCGCCTAGGATGTCAATCTTCAAGCATTCCATTTCATTTTTGACAACTTCCAATTTTCTTAGATTCATAATTCGTACATTCTATGTCCCAGATATTAATGGAAGCTTGCAGCTAGTCTCATTTTGAGTCAGGCAGCAGCATCGAATAAAGATCGGGGTTGGGGGGAGGGAAGGTCAGGAAAACGTTCTTTCCGAGTTCATTAAGTTCATTGGCTCCACTTTGAGGAGGCACCCACAAAGCATGAGCTGACAGCGTGCAAAGGATGAGCCCCTCAAGTTGGAAGGCACTCAAAACACAACAGAGGCTCGAACATCACAGCAATCCTGAGGATGGTGCAGGGCCCGACAGTCTTCAGCTCTGCTATCCACAGGACGACGATTGCCCAGAACCAACCCAACAGCACCTAACAGCACACCATCCTGAGCCAAAGACTGTACCACTTGAGCCAGTGGGCCCCCCACAGCAGGGTTTTAAGATTCCCTAAGGCATCCAGGATTTTTGTAGTTTTGATAACGGAGTTAAGTGAGTTAACTGCGTGTGTTAACTAGTGTGTCATACTCACACACAGCAAGATTCCATAAACAGACCACTGCCATGACTAAAATGCGTAGATAAATGGCAGTCTCTTTGTCTTTTGATATTTAATTATAACCCGTGTCCCTGTGTTCCACAACTAAAGCATAGATAAACATAAGCTTTTCTCTCTTGTTCCAGCTTGAACTCAGACCTAGAGATCCGCTCCCATAAAGACTGCAGTCTAGGAAACCCTATGGGGCAGTTCTACTCTGTCCTGAGTCAGAATTGACGTGGCAGTACACAGCAACCAGAGCATTGGTTTCCCAATCTGACTACTTCAAACCCTACAATGTGTATGCCACTGTCAAACTGATTCCATAAGCCTGAGAGACAGAAATATGTAGTCCTTCTGAAGTTTCTAGCATAAAAAACAGTCTGACATTGCCTGAGTAACTATCAGTAACCCTGACACTGACCCACACAGCCCTGTCCTCTCATGAAACCCAAAACTTGACCAGCACAGTCAAAGGGCCTGGGAACCTTTGTGGAGCAGTGAAGTAAGCATTGGGCTGCTAACCACAAAGTCGATAGTTCAAACCTACTGGTAACTCCTGGGGAGTAAAATGGGGCTGTGGGCTCTCTTAAAGAGGTCCAGTCTTGGAAATCCTTGTAAGAATTCTGCTCTGCCCTGTGGGGTCACTATGAATCAGAATGGACTCAATTGGGGTAGGAGCCATGCAGACAGACCTCCCTGGCGCCTGCACGTGCATCACTGGAGGTGCACTTCTTGGCCCTGAACAACCTCCTGTCGAGCAAGGGGCACGACAGAGGGTCTGAAGAATCCATGATTCAGGCTCTGCCCCAGACCTGTGCTGAGTGCTTTAGACACGTGTTCTCGTCTCATCCTTACAGAGCTGTAGCTCTTGTGGTGCCATTGTTTGTGTTGTAGTGCTAGTAGTGGTTGTTGCTGCTGTGGTTGTAATAGTAATGTCCTTGTTATGTCCATTTTGTGAATGAGGAAACTGAGGCTCAGAAAGGCTGAGTGAGTGACTACGGGCCACAAGGAAGATGTTACAGAGTGAAGATATGGACCCAGGCCTGTTTGATGTCCAGAGTCACTTCTCAAATCTAAGGAGGGAGCTTGAATTTGGACCTGCTGGCCCGTGGCCTCGCTGTAGCCAAGCATTACTTCTCGTGTAGGAATGTACAAATGTTTTCCCAAATTTTGTGCTCAGTCCCCCTTGTCTTGCCTGCCATGGGACTCCCAGGTGTGGCATGTGCTGACTAGCCTTCTGCAGGCATTTTGGGAAGGGCTGAGTTACCAGCCTGCACTCCTTGGGCCCCCTAGTTTGTGAGTCTCCACTCACAAGCCTGAGAACATTATGGTGGGCATCGGTGGCCTTGGGAAGCTATCAGTGAGGTCCCTCAGGTATAGATCTGAAGGCCAGAGAAAGGAGAAGACTTCTAAGGTGGCAGGCCGAGCATGGCAGAGCAAAGCCAGGACCACGGTCTCCTGCTGCGCTGGCCAGTGTCCTGTCCAGAGTGCAGAAAGACCCTGCTTCAAGGAGACCCCCTGAGGGACATGATCCTGGGCATAAGTGTAGGATATAGACGGGGTCTAGGTTCAGTTTCGAAATGTCTCTCTTCATGCTTGTTATTGGCCAGTTGGTTGGTATATTTTGCCTAGAGAATGAGTAAGCATGAGAATTCACGGGGCACTCCACTCCGCACATCAGGCCCAGGTGGGACACCAGAGAACCAGAGAAAAAGGAAGAAGCACTGAGAGCCATTCTTCCATTATGTGGCTCTCCGCCCCCCCCCCCCCCCCCCCCTGGGTCTCATCACCCCCTCAGGGACCACTACCTCATCTCCCTTGACCCAACATGTCACAGTGTTGTTTTCAGTGCGACTCTCTGCTCCACCTGATGTCATTTGCCTTCTTTGTGTGTGTATTGAAATGATGTCACAGAAAAAATCGAGCTGCCAAACAGCACCAGCACCGAAGTCGAGCTGACTCCACCCAGCGATGCTTCGGAGCCTGTACAAAACGGGAACCTCTCGCACAGCATCGAGCCTGCGGAAGCCCAGGTACCGTGCAGCCCAGAATCCTGCGTCCTCCCCAGGGGCCCTGGCCCTGGACGCAAGGCCTTAGTCATCCTTCTGCGTTTTCTAGTGCCAGCCTGAGACTCTCGGGCATCAAGCTGTGCGTGCCCGGAATGAGTATGTGCATTCACTGAGCCTCTGTTTCTGGGGGTGAGGTTGGAGGTCTTCAAACATCAGAGTCTCCTGGGAATAAAAACCCAGATTCCTGGGGCATACCCTAGACCAGGTGAAACAGAATCTCTGAAATGTGGGACCCAGGAATCAGCATTTTAATTCACTTCATGCATGAGAAAGTTTGACAGCTGCAGTTTAAATCCTGTCTCTCTGTCTTTAAGGTCAGGGTCAAATACCAGAGAAGCCACAGTCATTACCCCTTGATGAGCCCACCTTGGACCCTCCCTGTCACTGCAGTTGAAATTGGTCCACACTTGCTGGCCCAACCCACGGTCCAGTTGGCAACCCGCAGACAGTTTATTGGTCTAATAAGAGTTAGTCTTGTAAGTGTGTGTTTATTTAGAACTATGTGGTTCTTAGCTGCTATAGAGCAGGTCCACATGTGCACAATGGAATGGGTCACTGCGCAGTCCTCTACCACCCCATGGTCTGTCCCACTCAGATGGTTGTGGCCCAAAAGTTTTCAAAGCCAGACATTCAGTAGTACATCCCCTGGACTTCTTTCTGATCAAGCTTAGCCTGAAAATCCCCCTGAAACCCGTTCAGCATCCTAGCAACACACAAGGCCCCCTGGACCATCAGGGCGGCACATTGGCCCAGAGTCAACTGCAGGTCTCCCTGACAAACCACAGCCTCGTAACTTCCACTTCCCAAGCACCTGAGACACACGCTACAGAGTCTACTAGACACCTGCTGTCACCTTGTCACTTCCCAGCGCCCTGTGGCTGGGGAGGACCTGTTGACTTGGCAAGGTGGGGTCGCTCCTCAAGATTGCCTACCTCAAAGGTGGCAGAGCTGAGGTTTGATCTGAGGGATGCCTAATGCCTATACTCTCTCCGCTCCACAACATTGTCTCTGGGTCACTGCTCCAGAAAAGTAGACAGCCTCCCAGATGATGCTGGTGAGATTCCTGGATCCAGCTTAATCCATTCACCTGATCTGGTGAACCAGATTTGCTAAGGCACGAAATTCCAATCAGGAATGCTAGGCCAGTGTTCCTCAAACGAAAGTCTGCTTCTGGCTTTCCTGAGAGTCACATGAATGTTCCGACTCGGATTCATTAGGTCTGGGTGGGGGCTCAAGAGTCCCCCTTTCTAACCAGCTCCCAGGTGGTGCTGCTGCTGCTGCTCAGAGGAGCACGCCTGAGTCGCCCTGTCGGGAGTTCAAGATGCGCTACTCTGGACAGGCTTCTCCCAGTGAGCTGAAGGACTCGTGACTAGTGACACCGCTCACTTGTCACGGGTTGAACAGACTGCAGACCGCATGTCAGCACACCTTCTTCTTCTCCTGTACATGAGAACTTTCTCTGCAGCAGGAGGAGGCTGCACTTCTTAGGAAAGATGAGCTGTCGCGCCCTTGGCCCTTGTTCCCTGAAGGAGCACGGACAGTTCCTTTATTTAAAGGAAATGTGAAGGAGACCAGGGTGCCCTTCTGCCCTGTCTCCTCTGCCTGCTAGGCCCCTTTGCCCTCCTGCCCGGGTCTCTTTGCATTAGCTCCAGGGGGAGCTGGCCGAGCAGCTTCTGTCCACCTGGAGACGCAGCCGACTTCAGGGACACCTGGCTGCCCTTGGGGATGGCACAGTCAGAGGTGTGCCAAGGGCTGCCCAAGGTCTGGGCCTCTCCATCTGGCTTGCAGAGGGACATCTGCACCCCGCCAGAGGGCAGGACTTTGCCGCAGGGGTGCCAGGCTCCTCTCTGAGCAGAACGTGCCCCACGTCTCCACACAGAAGCAGGGCAGCTGTGTGCACCAGCCTGGTACAGGGCGAGCACAAGAGCAAAGGCCTGCCTACCCAGGAACGACAGGACCAGCCCTGCCCACCGTTATTCCAGATGCTCCAACTGGCCTGGCCTCATGGAGCTGTCCAGTCCTGGGTCTGGATGATAAAAAGTACCTGCCTCCCTAGGGCTGTGAGCGCAGTGTAATGAGCTAATGGACACAGAACACTGGCTCTGGACATTGCTGTGTCCGTACCAGCCATTTAAATACCTTTCAAAGTGTGCCTTTCTGGAAGGGTCTCACTGTCAAAAAGCTCTCTGCCATCGCGTCCATCTGACTCACAGCAATCCTGGAGGGCAGAGTGGAACTGCCTCCTCGGGTCTCCAAGGCTATAAAATATGTAGGGGAGCAGACAGCCTCATTGTTTCTCGCTTGGAGGGGCTGGTCGATTTGAACTGCTGATCTGGCAATGAGCAGCTCGATGCATCACCCACGACGCCCACTCTCTGTAGGTGAAATGAAAATGCGGTTGTACGTGGTGTGTATGTTAAGTCTGCTTGGGAGCATTCGGGGAGTCGATCCCCCCATCAAGGAAGATCTGTGGTAGGTAGAGAATTATGACCCCCTGTCATCCTGGAGATCGTACAGAGGACTCCAGGAAGCTGCCGGGGGAGCTTTGGAGCCTAGTCAGAGAGGTGTAAAAGCTTCAGAGAAGAGCTGGGCATTGATTTAAGCTGGCTATTGATGGGTGAGTAGAAGTTTGTCCCTTGGAGAAGGTAAAAATGACCAAGATGACAGGGTGCACAGAAGTGTAAAACCTCTCAAGGGAAAATCCATGTTCAGGGATTGGCAGAAAAGACCGGAGTGGGAAAAGACTGGAGACCCAAAGGTAAGGGGAGGAGTGAGGCGCTCCATCCGGAAAGGTGGGTTGAGCTGAAATGCCCCCACCTTCGTGCCTTCCGGAGACCTGCATTGCTCGCCTACTGCGTGTCAGTGACGTACTGAGCACTGGGCACAGAGGGACTATCGACAGAGGGACCAAACCCCAAACCCACTGCCACTGAGTCACTCTGACTCCTGGTGACCCTATAGGACAAGGTGGAATGGCCCCTGTGGGTTTCCGAAACTGCACCTCTTTATGGGAGGGGAAGGCTTCCTCTCTTGTCACTGGGACTTGCAAATACAAAGCAAGGTTTAAATCCAGGTGAAGGCAAGGGCCAGGAGCGAAGTAAAACAGACCGGAGGGACAGGGTCCCTGGGTGGGATAAACGACTCACACCCTCAGCTGTTGACCAAAAGGTTGGAGATGGTCCACCAAGAGGGGCCTCAGAAGAAAGGCCTGGTGATCTGTTTCCAAAGAGTCAGCTGTTGCTAACTGTGTGGGCCACAGTTCTACCCTGACACCCACAGGGGCACCTGTGAGCCAGAGTTGATTGAAGGTGACTTCTTGGCAGCAGCTTCAGACTTGGTAGCTCTCTTGGGAGTGGGCAAGAAGCCAAAGTGGAAAAGAGACCAGAAGCCGTTAAGGACTATTGCTTCTGGGGTCTGCCAGCCGCAGTCCGTAGACCAAACCCAGCCTACAGCTTGCTGCTGTAGGGCCCGTGAGCTAAGAATCATTTTCACATTTTTATAAGGCTTTTTCTAAAAAGCAGCAGCATATGTGACAGCGACCGTGTGGACCACAAAGTCTAAAATATTTACTCTCTAGTAAATATTTATGGAGAAAATGTGCCCACCCTTAATTTAGAGCTTCTGCAGTCTCAGGGTGGGCGGAGAGGTTGGGGAGGAGAATGAGGAAGCGCTCCGTGTACTGATATGGAATGGACTTCATTGTATGTTAAGTGACAGAGACAACTTGCCCAGCATGCTATACAAGGATTTATTTGAGCAGGCAATAACGCGTAAGCATTCCCTAGGAGGCTATGGAAGGAACCGGTCATCCTAATCACCTCTAGAACATGGGTCCACGTGATGGGGAACTGGGGTGGGGGGAGTTAGCTCTTCAGTATACACCCTACATTTTGAATCTGAAACCAGCTAATTGTATTTCCAACCCAACACCAGCAATTAAAAAAAAACCATAATGGGTTCAATGAAACAGGCAGTATATACTTTAGTTGACCAAAAGCATGGTCTCTGGAGACCTGAGTTCAAATCCCAATCCTGCCACCTACTGACTGTGTGACTTTGGGCCATTTACTTAACCGCTCTGTTCTCCATTCACCTTCTTGGTGAGACAGAGATCATGACAGCACCTGCCTCACAGCCGTACTGTGAGGATGAAATGCTCTTAGAGCAGTTCTTGATGCGTAGAAAGCCCTGCCGAAGACCTGGTCGCCATCAAACTAGTTGCCAACTCATGGCAACCCCATATGGTCAGAGTAGAAACGTCTCTACAAGAGTTTCAATAGATGGTTTTCTGGAAGTCGATCGGGCGACCCCTGGGCGGACTCAACTTTCCACCCTTTCAGTTAGCAGCCGAGTGTGCTAACCGTTTGCCCCATGAGGGGACTAAGCGCTGCATCATTGCTCTTGTCATCAGTCCCCACTCACAGCCAGCCTGTGTACAACAGAGCAAAGCGCCGCCCCGTCCCACACCATCCACACAGGGACTGCGATATCGGGGCCGCTGTGTCCGTCCACCTCAGTGAAGGTCTTCCTCCTTTTGCTTGACCCTTTACCCAGCACAGTACCCTTCTCTGAGGACCAGCTCTCCTGAGAACATGTCCAAAGTGACAACATGCCACCGGACTTAGTAACACTTACTTTTACGTGGTTATTGAAAGGGACTAGAAGTCTAAGTTTTGAACCAAGCATTGGCTGTGGATGGGTGGCAAGAGCTGGGTTAGAGGGCTATTTCTTAGGCAGCATGGAGGAAAGGTGGCCATAGATCGGTCACTGGGAGTGACCCAGCCGAGGAACTTGGGAGTTGACGCCGTGACCTCTCAGGACTGGAATAACTGGATCGTGTGGGTGAATTCGAGCTGTAATTCCAAAGCTGAACCTAAGACGGAAAATCCGAACGCTCAGGCGGCCCAAAGAGAGGCTTCCCAGAAATAACTCAGGGCTTGTATTTTTGCCCATACTCTGCTAGT